TTTACTCTTTTCCATGCCTTACTTACTTGCAGCGGACAAATTTCCACTACCCTCCTTCAATCTCACATGCCGAAACGTATCGTTGCACACGAATGCAGGCCGAATGTCCTAGCAAATAAGAAGATTATCTCTCAATAAATGAAAATGGCAGAGAATGCTCTGCAATATTGGAGGTACACTTTTGTGCTTGGAGAATTTCCTGCGCGAATGCAACGTTGTCACATGCTAGAAGTGGGTCAAGTTGAACCACCCACACCCACCGCAACTTGGCGCACAGGCTGTGGCACTGTTGTTACTTGCGTCTAAAATATTCCCACTAACAGTGCTTAAGCTTATGAGACAACGATGTTTCTTGCTAAAGAATTGAATCCATTTGTGGAATATTCGGCCAAGTGGCATGGAATTGATGAGGTGGTATGAGTAGCAGTAAGAGTGGTAGTAGTAGTGGTGGGGTGATTGAAATGGGTGGTGGGTGTAGCAAAGGTGAGCATTCCATAATGTCGAAGAAGTAAAGGTGGGAGTTTTCACGCAGTAGATGCTGCTGATACAATTACTGGAGTACGGACGTCAGACTAGCAGTTAGTCAAATCAAAGAGGCTTGGAGTTGATCTATGCGAACGGACGAGAACGAATGGACATTTTGGCACGCATCCCCCTCTTGAGGTGTTTCCCGCGTCGCTATACGCGAATTCGATGTTGTGAGGGAGGAAAGTGGATTGGCGTGGACACGGATGGGGAAGGCATGGAACTTCTTGCCACTTCTTAAGCTTGGCTGTGGATGCTGTCGTACGTGGCAAATTCCTCATTTCTGCAGATGACTTCATTGCCTGTCTCATCACTCCACTGTTAGGCATTGCGATGACTGGTCGAAGGCTCTTCATTTTTGATTATGCGCACCCTATCATTGAGCTGCTTTGGCCTTTTATTGAAGTTGGCATGAAGTGGACTCCTTCCCTGACCTGCAACTTCTTGTATCTCCAGCCGAACCGACGGTGGGAGAAGTCGAAGGGGTAGCTGAATGGCACTTCAACACTATCCAATCAATTGTGTATCTTCTAAGTTTACACAATTATAGTCTGGAATTTGTTTTTCCCTCAGTAAAAATGGATAGAAACACTTGCTTTATTATTGGAACCAATTTCATTTTATCTCTGTTGCGAAAGAGTTACAGCTGATAGGTGTGAAGGGAAGCAAAAACACTTAAGAGGTTGCTAAAGTTGGTATTCACGAGGATTCTGCTCATTAGGAGGTTCATGTAGGCCAACTGTTAGAGGTAGAATCTTCATAGAAAGGCAAACAAATGTGAAGATTACCCGATGCACGTCGAACATAGAGACACCATAAACCGAGACCTGAATGCAGCGTTTGGGAAAGGGTAGGCGAAGTGTACAAGGGGATGTAGCCTCTAGCCCACTACCACTTTATGGTCATTCCAGCTTGAATCTCTATATGGTTCGCTTCTATGCGGAGAATAACAGATTTCCCGTCTTGGTGGAGGAGTCCATCCACCGGCGTGGGTCTCACACTTCAGTTTGGTAGTGAAGGTGAACAACGTTTGTTGCTGTTATACATAACACAAGTAGCTAGCAGGTTGGAAAGAGGATTTTGGCTAAATGAATGAGCATAATAATGGAGTTAGTAGAACGCCAATCACCAAGTAGCCTGAGTGGTCTAACTCCTGCAACTTTGATGCAGATTGCCAGTTTGGGACGGATGTT